TTTTTTATTTCAGAGCGTACTGTAAATATTAAGTGTTAATCTCTCTTTTATCTACATAATTAAGTATTAATTAATTCTTTGTAAAATAAGCCTCATTCGGCAATTGCGCGGCTGTTTTGTGGCTGTAATGTATATAATTGTGAAATGTAGATAATTGTAAGTATGTCTGTTATTGCGGTTGTTTAGAACTTTGTAATTATCTTCTTTTTTAAGTAGTTCTTTGTAATTATAGTAATAAATGTCTTGAATAAAAAAAATTAAAAAAAAAAAAAAATCTTGAGGCCAAATTCCTAAAGAATAAAATAAGCGCCCCATTCGAAGGTTGTCGACTCAACAAATGAAATAATTGCCCGGGCGCTTATTCGAGCATGCCCTTCTCGGAAGGATGTAACGCAGTTCTAACTTTTTGATTCCGTGATCTCATTTTTATCAGCCGTTCTAGTATTCTCTTTCAGTGTAGGTCTCGCCCTGAGGAAGGCTAATTTTGTTAGCTGAAATATTGGCGTCAAATAAATCAGCACAGCCTTGGATTTAGGTTTATTATGGTTTCACGTTATTTAATCTTATGAGGTACTGCGTCCCTAACATTTAGGACGTCCCCGAGGTTAGTTTTCAGTCGAGTCTTGTTGATGAAAACCAGTGAGGAGTGACCAGTCTACCATTCGAATAAAGTGTTAAATTAATCGGCTCGCTGTAGTCGAATTGAATTTTTGGTGGGCGCTTATGAAATTTTTCTGCCGTTAGGATGAGCGCTTATTCGAGGTGGGTTGAATTAATATGAATACCTATAAATAAGGTATGCACGTCAGTACGAAACAAGGAAAATCAACCTGTCTACGAATATCAAATTGTACGTGATGCATATTAATACTGTATACAGTCCCTTAGGAAAAGCACGCGGCAATTTTTTGAAGAGCTACGTCAACGGGAAGTAAATTACGTTTAAAATATAGCCTGCGTGGCAGGCGTGAAAGGGGAAGAGAAAAGGGAATTTCCGGCACAGAAAAAGCGCGAAGGGTAGGCGAAGGAGATGGCAAGGGAACGCTGATCCCCTGCCCCGTTCCCCTGCGTTCAAGCGCGCTTTAATTTCCCGTTTACTTTTCCCTTTCGGCGAAAGTCTGCCACGCAGGCTACATTTTTAAGAGTTCAATAATCTTATTATTCAAATCTGGGTTTCAGCATGAGGGTAATTGATAATGTGAAATAGAAGTTAACCTGAATACGGGGTCAAGACCCTGTTCAATCGTTACTGGAAGTGGCTGAGCTTTAAACCATGTAACGAAAGTAAAATCTACAAAAATATGAAAATAAATCGAAAAATGAAGCACTCAAGTCATTCAGAATTACTTTGGACTGCGAGGAGCTTTAAACAGCATAGTAGTAATCACATAATTAGCTACACGTACTCTCAGGTCGATTTTCATTTTTTGGATGTAATGTATTAAGGCTTCCTGAATGACTCATTGACCTAGTTGTAGATCAACAGGCAAGGGATTGCTGAAGCATTTTTAAAGTCAGCTGCAATTACTTTCCTTGTTTATTGATTACTTCCTCGTGAAAACTGCATAAAAGAGCGTGTTTGACACAAAGAAAGCATGACTTTCCTGAGGAACTAATTTCGAGAGGTTGTTTTATAGCATCTTAGTCTCGAAGAATAAGTTATCTTTTGCAAAATGGTGAGTTGCTTGCTTTTAATTTTGAAAAAATATATCTACTGCAGACATGGGATTTATTTGCTAGTTCAATTTCAGTTTGATTATTATAGATAGCACGATAATATGTTAACTGGTGCAGGAACTTGAATTCTACTTTGGTGCGGAATTGATTTAATCCATCATTGAATTATTTTCTTTCAATTTTATAAGGGATTTTCTTCCGTTCTGGCGGCTTTGTTTTGTGTAGCCTGCATCGAGGAGATAAGTGCCTCGGTGGTGCTCAAGGTAAGTCATACTGGAGCTTTTTATGACTACCTGTGATAGTGACCTTGTGGATACCGTAGTTCCACCGTTTCTTTTCCACTCGGTTCCCCCTCTGAAGTCGTAGAGGCAGTTAAGATCACGCTTCAATTGCCACTGCTGTGACTTGTTGCAATATTTGACATGTTTTCTACCAATCCTTACAACTAACTGTTATGAGTACAGGCCACCAATCAAATCTAAAACGATGTTGAAGGCGGTTATCTTGAAGTGAAATATTTTAGTTGTACATCTTTGTTTTTGCTAGTGCTGTGATATATGTAAACCCAACAAAGTTGTTAAAAACAATAGACAAACAGCTTTAGTCGAGTGGTAATGTGTGCGCGATCTTAGCTTCCGCCGTTAAAATTCATCATCAAACGCTTTTTTTAACCGTTAAAACGGCCTCAAAAACAACCGTTTGTTTACTCGCGGTTTTTTGCTAGGTAACGGTGGATCGTTGGATTTAGAGAGATATAGCCAACTCTATTAGACAAAATTATGAATCTCGCTTGGCGAGGAATTAACTTTAGTGGAAAATAAGGAAAATTTAACCACTAATATATAAATATATCTTTTTAAATCGTGTGCGTATTCCTTATTTTCACAACAGACTCCAGCTGAAGGAGCACAGATACTTGATGTACAGCGAAAGAATACCATTGAGAAGTATAATCTACGAATTTCAGAAAGAGGTGTGAATTTTGATGCGAAAGTAGAGATCGACGAGAACAGTGATATTGAATATTTCCAGGTTCCTCCTCACCATGAACTGTCGGAAACGAATGCCATGTATGACTTCAGAATGGTAAGTAAAATCAGCGGGGATGATTCGGTATCATATAATAACTCAGTACAACGCATCTGACCACCTTTAATCATAAGAGGACAATTAAGGGGGTCTCGCTATCCGTCCCTAGATAAATAGCGTCGGTTGGAGGCCTTCAGAATCCAAGTCACTGGTAAATAAATCTGTTCTAACATTCGCAGACCTTTGATTTGTTGTTTCAATAATTTGATCAAATGTTACTTTCTGATAGGTCTGTTCTGTTACATAAAGTTTTGACTAGCCTGTTTGTCTTTTTTTTTACATTTCAACCATCGTTTCTGGCATGTCAGTCTTACGTAACTCGTCATGCAAAGAAATAGTTGTAATTGCAGTTCTCAACGCATGCGCCTATTTTTTGAGAGAATTAAGGTGATTCCCCGGTTTTGCATTGCGCATCTCTTACTGCGCATAACAAGATGGCGTCCGTAAAAAAGAGCATGTGAAGTAACATTATTAAAATGAAGTTGACCGAAGAGAAACGCTATTGCAATCTTTGCTTGCTGTTGTTTCTTGCCGAAGTGAGACTCAATGTGGTGGGAATGTGCATAACGTAAGCAGTACGCGTGTTGCTGAGTTCGACTTCCTCACGGAGAACATCGATGGTGATGTTTGATTTGTGCTTATTCACTTTGATTTTCATTTAAACGCTTTCTTTATCACATTGTGTACTAAATGTGATATCTCGATGTAAATTCTGTAAAAACGGATTTTTTAATACTTTCTTCCCCCTTTCACATACATTCTATTTTGAAACTCGCCCCAGTCCTCTCTCAAAAATCAAGGAAAATGCATTTGGTGAGGAATTCTGCAGCACTACCGCAAAAACGAGTACGGTGACCCCCATTTTTTATTTCATGATTTTAATAAGGACAGTGCTTCTTTTCGGTGAGGAAAAAATTGGCACAAATCTATGTTAAGTTTTTTGGCAATTTTACTAAATTGTACGGATTGAGCTATCACGTGTCGAATAGCGCGTGTCCAACTTAATTCTACTTTGGAGCGTAAAGTAAAAACAAGGGCTTAAAAGGCATTTTTGTGGTACGTAAGTGGATAAGCAATACATTAAAGTCAAATTCTGTGCGATACCACATGCATCATTGAAAAAATCTTTCCTTTTTGTCTAGTTTTGAGCTACGCGCGGTTTTTGTCAAGGGGTCCAAAATAGCCGTATTTGTCAGCATTGTGACGTCAAAACGAGCACGGTGACCCCCACTTTTTATTACTTTTTTACCATCTTCTTGACTTGTTACATCAGTGTACCAAGTTCCATCTACAGTCTATGTTAGGTTCTCTTACTAGGGAATCACCTTAACTGAGCTTAGTTATCTTATCTTGGTTTACCGGTTACTGTAGTGTTTCTTATCTCTACAGAACATCACAGTCAGACTTGTAAAGAAGGATGGTGTTTGTCACATTTCGCCACTGCCACCCAATCTTCCGAGGCCAAATGATTTAGCAGCGGGACTCAAAATGGTAAATTTATTCGCTGCATTGTCGTATGCTGTGCTGTTAAGTTCAGACAGTCTGGAAGTCTTTTCAACAACTTATGTAGAAACTTGCAATTTTATGGGACGACCGCAGAAAATTTTTAATTGAATAGATCTTTCACTTTTTACTTAAAAAATGGATTGGAATAAATGGATTAAAAATGGCCCTGAAGTTCAACTCAGCTATTATATGTAAGCACTAAGAAGTGAACTTTATTTGTTTCCCGTACGTGCAGCTGTCACACTCGGCTCCTGTTCAGAAGATAGAAAAAATCAAACAGCAATGGACCCTTGGTGACGTTGTTGACAGGCAGACTTTAAGAACCGAGGTGCAAGAATTCTGTGGGAATTTCCCAATCTACCGTTTAGAACCATATACACCTGACTCTGTTACTGTGGTTGCTGGCACCCGCGCTGGTAAGTGTACATCTCTTGCGCCATTGCGCTATTTAAATATACACCCCTCAGTTAAGGACTTTGAGCATCTCAATATTCAGTTTCTAGTCTCATCCACGCAGGTTTTTCATATTGAACTAAACTTATTCCTCGTTACAATACCTTTCATAATCCAGGTCGAAATAAACAATTGCTAGTAATCAGTGATTCGTACCAAGGGAAACATCTCATTTTGGTTTCCGACGTCAGTCTTACGTTTAAGTGAAATAGGTGGCAACTACAAAACTTATTTTAGAAAGTCAAATGATACATGGCCATTTTTCTAAATATCGCAAGTCATGAATTGGTGAGTGGTTGAAGAAAAAATCAACATGTAACGTTCATGTAGCCCCGCATATCCATATTTAACCCGACCCAGTCTTAAAGCTTGCAATTCTCGCCTTACACGTTTTCTCTTCGTTCCTTCCGCAGAAAGAAGACGTCGTGACTGGAAGTTTGTCCCGTGTGACAAAACAACGCTCCCTAAGCCAACAGATTGTAGTCCCGACAACTGGGACTATGATTGCTTAATAAGCGATAGTAACTGTTTGTATTACATTTCATGTTATTTAGATAGAGGTGGCAAAAAACTGGCATGTTCGACAATCGAACATCTTTACACTGCTATGGTCTGTTGCCAGCCAAGATGTCCGTAAAGTATTAAACGTTGATTTTTCTTCAAGTTTAAGAGCTGCTGTTCAGAGATTATTATATAAGTGCGAACTGAGCCAGGTAATCATTTGAAATATCGATTATAGCGTCTAATTTAGTACTGAACAAGTGTAAACAAATTAATATCTCGGAATTTCTTAATGTTGTTAAATAGAGTGTTTCAGACACCTTTTTCGCACTCTTTTTGTTAATTGAAGAAAAATGCACCTAGTACAGCTGGTAGAACATGTTGCTTGTATAAACTGTTTTTACTACAATAAATAAATTGGTGTTCAGTCATTTTGTGCTTGTGTTACTTTTTTCTCGTCTTTAAATGTTGGGGTGTAAGTGGTCTTTTATAGCGGAGCTATCGCACGCGTGAAGCGGGGCACCATGGGCAAGAAATTTTGGTCTTGAGAAAGTCGCCCGCATGTCCGCGGTACGCATATGCGTCCATCCCTTCATGGACTTCACGCCAGCCAAATGTCAAATTTTGCACTTCTAGTACCCGCGCGTTTCAAGGGTAAATCGCATGGCCACCGGGACTTTTACAAAGGGAAAAAAAATCGAAAAGAAAGTCAAGTAATTCTTTAAATCTAATATAAATTTCTTATTTTTTTGTATAAAAATAATACATTCAATTCTCACACACCATTTTGTGCATAACACAAACGATATCCATAAAGTTCCCGGATTTATTAAGGTCAGAGTGGTTGCCAGAGAAAAGAGTGTTGCCAAAGAAAACCTGGCAAAATGTCAAAAATGTCAACGGGAGGGGGTCAACAGAATAAGTTCATACTAACATCATAGATAGGTTAGGTGGAGTAATGGACAAATATAATAAACATAGGTTCTCCACTGCTCTTGTATTAGAGATACGAGCATCACTTTATTCGACCCCCTCAAGCGCCATTTTTATAAGCAAATTTTCACCATTTTCTGAAACTCACAGAACCCTCGAAATTTAACGAGAGAAGTTTATTTTTTGTATGCGATACCCTTATAGTACTACTGTCTAAAACCATAGGGTTTGTTAAGTAGCTACGGACAAGACTAAAATTTTCTTGTTTTATGTGACCTAAACTTAGTGTCTGCAAACGAGGGAAAATCGGGCATTTTTGAATTGATCTACAGCGCACAACTAAAACGACAGAATAACTCTGACAGCCAAATTGCAGTCTAGTATCATCCATGTAACCAAAACACTAATAATCATTTTGGGCCATTCAAACAACAAAAAAAGAAAACTCACATTTGTTATGGTTTCCAAGCATTTTCTTGCAAACAGGCCAATCCCTTCGTGTTTGTTTTAAGTCCTTTTCGTGAATTTTCTTTCATTTCGCTGTTAAGTATGTTCAGCAGCTGGAGGACATATCAAAAAGCTCGAAATACTGCCTAGGTTACATTTTGAAAGGGCAAAAAGTGCTGAACGATAGCATGAAACTAAGAAAATAACAAAGCGACGCCATGTTGAAAATTCAGCACTCAGGAGGGACTGGCGCTAGTATCTGTCTTGTCCACAAGATGATGAATTACCAAATAGGTAAAAAACAAAAACAAACAAACAAACCGGCTTATCAGCGACCTACTACAGTCTTATTTCCCCTTCAATTACTACTTTTAGCGTTAAATTTGAGTAGTTAGTAAAATGGGAGTACTAGGACAGTTCTTATGTATTTTGCTGATATCTGCACTTTTTGGACGGTTTAGGACAGTTTTTACATATTTGGCTGATATATGCACTTTTTGGACTTAAACCTTGGGAATCCGAACAACCGGTTTTGGGCGGTTTATCGAGACTTAAAGAGATAGCGCAGTATACTTGTGCAGATGGTGCGTTCAAATAAAAATAATATAATCTGTAGTAATAGTATGAAGACTAATGGTAATGAACTTATAAGAAGATTATTATCTGGAGTTACTGATGATGAACTCGAAAACTTGGTTAGATTACGGGAAGAAGCAGGACTCCCTATTCCCGCCCCAAGAAAAATGGGGGTCAAGTAATTAATCCGTTATTTTGAGAATAATAATTTATACAAACCACCGATAACAAAAAAACAACAACCACAGCCACAACCACGCCTAATTCCAGCTCCGAGAACTAAGATTACGGAAAAAAGTAAAGCTTTGAAGGGATATACAAAATCATACTTGATAGCTATAAAAAATGATAAAGATATTTTAGAACAATTACAAAATACGAGATTAGCAATCAGTCGATTTTTTGAGAAAATATTGAATCAAATAAAGGTTTTCAATTTGTGGAGACTATAGTAGTCAACTTTGAAAAGTTAAAAAATGGTGAACCTGAGGAAGAGATGCTGTATTTTAATAGTAAGGCGCAAATTATAATGAATGTAAGTGATATCAAGCCAAACTTAGAAATGTCACAGGAAAAATAATGAAGGATGTTGCTGAGTGGTTGAAAGAAGGAAGCGGTTGGACTACTGATGGTGTTTAAGAGCATTATTTTAATGTGGTTAATTATAAACCATTAGAAGGTAAATCACATATACCTTTACCGAAAGAACTTCAAAACAGCCTAAAAGGCTTAATTAACCTAAAAAATGAGGATAATGAGTGTTTCCCTTGGTGTCATATTAGACATTTAAATCCACAAGATGTTCATCCCGAGCGTATAAAAAAACAGATAAGACGATTGTCCAAGAATTGAATTACCAGGGAGTGGATTTTCCTGTAAGTTTAAAAGGTTATAATAAAATTGAGGAGCAAAATAATATCAATATAAATGTATGTGGATATGAGAATAAACAGTTTTACCCAATTTATGTATCCAAACAGAAAAATGAGGATATATTGAATCTTTTATTAATAGACTAACAGAAAATGAGAATAAACATTATGTGTTAATTAAAGATTTCAGTAGAATGATGTATAATAAGACAAAGCATAAGGAGAAAAAACACTTTTGTATGTATTGCCTACAAAATTTTAGTACTGAACAAATTCTTTTAAAACATAAAGACAACTGTATGGTTGTAAATGGAAAACAGGCAATAACGATGCCAAAAAAGGTGAAAATATATTGCAGTTTAAAAATCATCAAAACAGATGCCAGCTCCATTTGTGATATATGCAGATTTTGAAGCGGTTACAGAAAAGATACAAGGATTTGAGCCAAATAGTAATAAATCATATACAAACAAATATCAAAAACATACAGGCTGTAGTTATGGTTACAAAGTAGTTTGCTGTTATGATGATAAATATACAAAACCGGTAAAAATATATCGAGGAGAAGAACCAATAAAAAAGTTCATGGAAAAAATATTAAAAGAGGTACAGTACTGTGAAAACATAATTAAAACCAGATTCAAGAAACCCTTTAAAATGAGCAGTGAGGATGAACAAAATTTTAATGCTGCGAAAGAGTGTCATATTTGTGGTAAGAAATATACTAATGAAGATATCCGTGTAAGAGATCATTGTCGTATAACAGGTCAATATAGAGGATCTGCACATGAATACTGTAACTTGAAATTAAGAATAAGCTCAGAAAAGTTCAAGCTACCAGTTATTTTTCATAATCTCCGTCGGTATGATTCCCATTTTATAATGCAGGAGATAGGAACAATTGGAAAAGAATATGAATTATATATTAACTGTATTCCTAATAATATGGAGAAATATATGGCTTTTATGCTAGGTAAGCATTTAGTATTTTTGGACAGTTTTCAATTTATGTCTAGTAGCCTAGATCGTCTTTCAGCCAATTTACCAAAAGATAAATTCAAGTGTACAAGTGAAGTATTCAAAAAGGAGAAATTAGAATTAATGACCCAAAAAGGTGTCTATCCATATGACTATATGGATTCTTTTGAGAGATTTAATGAGACCCAACTGCCAAGCAAAGATGATTTCTTTAGTTAGCTAACCGAAGATGCCATAACAGATGAACAATATTGTCATGCCACAAAAGTTTGGGGAACATTTAATTTACAGACTATGGGTGATTACCATGATTCATACCTGAAGTCTGATATTTTACTATTGGCAGATGTTTTTGAGAATTTTAGAAGTACATGTTTGCAGTATTACAAATTAGACCCATGCCACTATTATACATCACCAGGATTGAGTTGGGATGCAATGTTAAAAATGACAGACATAAAATTGGAGTTAATGACTGATACTGACATGTTCCAGTTTATAGAAAAAGGTACACGTGGAGACATTTCATACATCGCCAACCGATTTGGGGAAGCAAATAATAAATACATGAAAGAATATAACAAAGAAAAACCCAGCAAGTATATTATGTATCTAGACTCTAATAATTTATACGGTTATGCGATGAGCCAGTATCTTCCAACAGGTGAATTTAAATGGCTAACAGAGAAGCAAATTGACAAGATTATGAAGAAGACAATATTATCTGATAATAAAAAAGGATATATACTTGAAGTTGATTTGGAATACCCTGAAGAATTACATGAGCTGCATAATGATTATCCCTTAGCTGCAGAAAAAATGAAGGTAACAAAAGATATGCTTTCACCATACCGTAAAACTATTCAGGAGAAGTTTGGAGTAACAATTGGGCAGGTTGCTAAATTAACCCCAACATTAACAGAAAAGAAGAATTATGTATTGCACTATAGGAATTTACAACTTTATCTATTACTAGGTCTGAGACTAAAAAAAGTCCACAGAGTATTAGAATTAAATCAGAGCCCATGGTTGAGACAATATATTGATTTCAATACACAGAAGCGTGCGGGTGCAAAAAATGCATTTGAAAAGGACTTTTTCAAGCTTATGAATAATTCAGTTTATGGCAAAACGTGTGAAAATTTAAGAAAGCGTGTTGATGTAAGATTGGTAACTGATAAAAGTAAGTTATCCAAACTTGCAAGCAAGCCAACATATGTTAACAGTAAAATATTCACTGAGGACCTTGTTGCGGTTCATAAAATCAAAGAAACACTAAAACTCAATAGACCAGCTTATGTTGGAATGTGCATTTTAGATCTTTCAAAGACACTCATGTATGATTTTCATTATAATTACATTAAAAAGAGATACAATAACAAGGCTAAACTATTATTTACAGATACAGACAGCCTTTGTTATGAAATAGAAACACAGGATATTTATGAGGAGTTATGGCAGGATAGAAATTTGTTTGACAACAGTGATTATCCAAAAGACAGCAAATTTTTTGATTCAACAAATAAAAAAGTTATCGGCAAATTTAAAGATGAAGCAGCTGGCATGCCTATTGTGGAATTTATTGGTCTTAGAAGTAAGATGTATTCTTATGTGAAAGACAATGGTAAGAATGAGAAGACGGCTAAAGGTGTTGGAAAGTATGTTATAAAGAAGAATATTACTCATGAGAATTATAAAGATTGCTTATTGAATCGTAAACAAATGTTACACAGCATGCGCACAATTAGAAGTGAGTTTCACCAGATTGGCAGCTACCAATTGAATAAAATACCGCTTAGCTGCTTTGATGACAAACGGCATATACTTGGGGATGGAATTACGAGTTATGCATATGGCCACTATCAAATAGGGGCTTTCCCAAGGAAATAAGTCATCAGAATATAATTACACAAATTATTAGAACGGTATAGAGGCTATGACGTCACGCCACAGCTGGGTCGTTACGTCACAGTTAAACTTTATTTTTACTTCAAGTGAGCCTTATAAGTGACGTCACGCCACAGCTGTGTCGTTACGTCATCAGGTGAATTATGTCGTAACTGTGTCGTGGTTTTTTTACAGTTACACTAATTAATACTTCAAATGAGCCTTATACATGAGTATATATATTCATTATTGTCATCATTGTGGGATGTAATTTATGTCCCCTTATTCTGCGCAGTCTCAGTGGGCATAAAAATATATAGAAATAAAATCTCCATATAGTATATAGTAATGTGTAATAAGGAAGTTCATGAGTTATTGATCCAAGAGGATTATATTAATTGCGTCTTTTGTGATAAACAGATTCAGGACCCCGGTAAGCCCAGGCGATATTTTTGTTGCGATTCTATGAGACTGATCAAGGATAACCTTCTTGTGTGTGAAAATTGTGGCCAAGTACATGATTATTTAACAGCAGACGAGTATATTGACTTTTATGAGAATAGATACAGAATAAAAAGAAAGTCCGTATATCACAGAAAATATCACATCATAAATGTCGTAAATGATATCGCACAAACAAACGGCATTAAAATCGGTTATTATAATAGAGAGAATATCCTGAGAATATTCAAACTAATTGATAATGTTACCCACCAACCGGGTGTTCGCCGAAAAGGGCTTACTAGTGTAAACTTTATCATTAAACAACTATTCGACATGTTAGGAATAGAATACAAGTTTATTCCTCTCACAAAATCGAAAAAGACGTTAAATTATTACAGTCAATGGTGGGCTCAAATCTATGATCTCATCAAGGAGGATATTAATCAGAGTTAGTAGTGGGGGAAGAGAGGAATTTTTTCCCATATTGTTTTTCAAATTTTGTTACTAATGGACAGAAATCTATAATTGTATCATCAAGAATATTAACCTCTTTTAAAAAGTCCTGTTTATTAAAGGGCCCACCTCGAAGCGAAGTTTTGAGATCAGATAATACTTTCTGATATGTTGTATATGCATATTTGCTCATTTCTATTTTACGTTTGTAGTTCTTAGTTTCACAAAATGTTTTGAGTAATACACCGGCGCCTGTTACAGTACCTATAATAATGGGATTGGCTGTGATGCCACCAGCTACGCTACCAATAATGACTAAACCTGCCGATACGATATTAGAAGCCAGATTGACTTTTTTGTAGTGTGTATAGGCTTTTTGATAGCACCAGTATCTATAGTGGAAATATTTATACAGCTCTTTAATCTCCTGTATCTCTTCTTTTGTTTTGTTTTTGTCAATGTGGTTCAAGTTGAATGTACTCATTTATATCAATAGTTTAGATTATATATAGAACATAAGAACCGTTCAATTTCTCTTCCAACATCATAGTATGAAATTCCCTAGAATTTAGGTCATGAACGTTTGGAGTGTACATTATTCTATAGATTACTGTACCTTCTGAGAATATTCTGAATGTATAGGTACTTTGAGATGCTTAAGTTGAACTTAGTGTTAGTGTTTCACTATAATTTGAGACTGAAGCTTTAACAGTTAGATCACCCCCTGTACCTTTCTTAGTTAACCAAAACACAACTCGTTTACCATTGAAACTGTCTAGTAATGTGATAGAAGTTTCGTTAGTTGACACAGCTCTCAGACCATTAGTTTGCAGTTTTAAGTTCTTTGTTGTTTTGTCATAAATCAAATGTGTTTTTTCATAAGCTCCATTACTCATCATTGTTTTTATACTTAGTGATCTGTTCAGCCATAGTCGCATAACAACACAAAGAGTAAAGCTCCTTTTACTGAATAATTCCAATCTTAATGTGGTATTTTTTATCCTCAATCCGCCCACCCAAATATTGGCAATGTCCATCCTGGGAAAAAAAATATTAGGTAGGATGCCTGAAACCATGATACCTGATATTCCTTGTACTATTTTATAGTTACTAGCATTACTGAAATCATAAAATTTCTCAAATATTTCCCTGTATGCATTATTTGTTGTATGAGGGCTCAGTTTTGTCTCCAAATCTTTGACCATCTTTACAGTCGCCGCCGAATTATTCTTAGTGCGATCTTGAGCAATGTTTAATATTTTCTTTCGGTTCATATCCAGATGAACATTGTAAACAACTTCAGTCGGCTTAATATCAAATGCTGTGTGGTAATCATATGTTTTTTGGGGATCGATCGATGATACTTTTCCGAAAGCACCATAAGCAATCATCCAGTTACTTGTCCATTTTTTTGGGTAGGTGTTGAGATCAATGCCCGATTGAGGTATGTTAACGTAAAGATCCAGACTGTAAAATGTATCTGATACAGTTTTTTGAAAGTTTACAATTATTTTGATCTAGTACATGTACTCAACATTCCCACTACTATTTGGGTACCGGTGAGAAAACTTCTGTACCAAAAAAACAACAACTGATACCCCCCTTGATGTGGTTTTATCAATTGTAGCAACCGATTTATGCCATAATTGTTAATCTGAATTGAGCATTTCAATACAGAGAGTATAGTCTTTATCTTTATCAAGTTGATAACAATTAATTCCCATTTTATAAGAGTATCCTCCTTGCTTATCTTTTGTAATGGTTGTTTATAGAACTTTATGGTTGTATTGATGGTAGTTACCATCTAAGGGCAGTAAATTATCAATTTTAGTAATGTCAAAACTATCGATGTTAATCGGTTCGAGATCAGTCCATCTTAATTTATTAGTCATCAGGTACTTCAGGTAATGGCTGGGTTTAACATGAGATTTTTCCAAATACTGTTTATTAACCCCATCAGTATCAGTAGTCGGATCTTCCATATTTCGGGCAATTATACCAAACAGGTTAAAATATTTATTGTTTGTTTGGGATTCAGACGGTGGAGATTGTCTCGATTTATTAGTTAATACTTGAAATGCGTTTGTTGTAGCATAATCTTTATCATTCATTAACAACCAAAACAATTGTAGTTGTTTCATAAAATAAAATGGTGTAGCATAGCCATCATATGTTATCCATTGTTCATAAGCTTTATAAAATATATTGTCTGTTCTATCTTCCCATTTAGCATTTTTCCAATCAATGATTTCTTGTTGTAGATTGGGTTGATTTGTAGCATAATCTGTTTGTTTTGAATTTAATCCAGTTATATAATTGTCACCCAATGCTAAATTACCAGTCATTGTATCCCCACCCTTTTTAACATACCGTCCATCACCGTAAACACGGGATACAGCATCCTTAACGGCTGTGGGATTAGCAAGATGAGTGATTTTATTATTGGACATATTTAGTGGTGTAGCCATTACTCCACTGGACTTATCCAGGAAAGTATTTTCTGACCATATTTTTGTAGCTGGTTGATTATCACCATCTGGTTGTGCTACATTGTATATCCTATTGTTATTCATATCTATCCAAATTGCCGGTCATTAAGCCACCAGAAAGTGATAGTTTAGTATCAGCATAAGACTTGTTTACCCCCTGATGAATATTGATAGGGGTCTTGACATTATAGATAAGTGATTACCCATATCCAAATAAGTCTCCATTGGAAAGACAGATTCTTTCCTACTGACAAACACATCTCTAACATCCTCATAAGATACTAGGGTGTCTCTAGTAGCATTCATTTCACCGAAAGTTTGCTGTTTACTGTTAATAACATTGTAAGTTTGCTTCAGATCAATATTCTGGTCTGTACTATGTTTATTACCCACAGCTGTATCCAGTTGATTTTTTGTTACGGCATCACTGGAAGCAGTTCCTTTAGCTATATTTGTCAGTTTTTTGTTTGATATATCATAATTCCCATCTGATGTGAGATTAAAACCAATACCCGGAGGTCCTTAAACACCCCGTATTGGTTTTCCTTTTGAGTATGATTGATTATAATTAGGTTGCTGATTAAAAATTCCCATCTATATTATTATATTAGATATTTCCATAAAAGTTTCTTTTGACAGTCTTCGTTGGTTTGTCAACATACAGGAATGAGTATGGTTGTTTGGTAGCTTTAATATACTGGTCCTTTGTTACATTTAGCTCTCTAGAAATCATATTTCTCTCATTACTGCTTGGGAAATCATAAACAATATAATGACTGCAATTTAATCTGATATCTTTTGGAGTTTTATAAAATGATTGTGAAAGGTAAATAACACTACAGTTCTTATGCCGGCCTTGAATAAAATAATCGATAAGCGGCTTTTGATTTTTATCACAAATGAAGTCGTCGAATATTACAATTTTCTGGGCATCACTTTCCAGACTATTGACAGGTTTAATGTCATCATTATTGCAGTGTATTATGTCATATCCAACCTGGTTACTAATGTCATTCATTGTTTCTATCATGTGTCGATCCTTTTCCTGTTCCAGACTTTTGCCATATAAATGTATCTGGTCATAGTAGACTAATGGTTTCATAAGGATGTGATAAAGCAGGTTTGTTTTGCCTGACCCTGAATTACCGCATATTAGCATCCGGAAATTGGATTTGGGCATGTACTTGTACAGCTGTTTGAAGTTTGTATTTTCATCTTCATTGAAATCATAATTTGGAATATCCATATACTATTATGTTAGATAATTTGATATAAGTTCAGATAAGTTGAGGTAAGTTTTATATAACATAATAGTATAATGGATATTGAAAGATTTAAGAGACTCAGTATTCCTAACATTGAAGAAGGAAAAATGACTGAAGTTGTTAGGGATGTTATAAA